CAGATACACACGTACATACATACACACACACACGCACGCACACACAAGAGCTAAGGCTATAATTTTGTGATGGCAGCACTATTTGTTTTGTTGACACAGAGTCTTACACTATAGCCCTTGCTGGCCTAGAACCATATAGACTAGGCTAGCCCTAAACTTTTGACACTCCTCCTTCCTCTGCCTACCATACACTTGTGATTCAGGCACGTTTACATGCCCAGAGGGTAGCAGAGCACGTTTGAGACCCTGGGTTTGATCCATAGAAGTACGGGAAAGAATCCAGGTCACTTTGACTTAATAGCCCCACTATAGGAGAACCTTTCTGGTGCTCATTCCGTGGGTCAGGAAAGTGGGGACAGACATTCCGAAGGCTGTGTAGTGTGAGCTTGAAGAACTGACTTCACATTCACCGAGACAAGGCCAGGCATAATTGTCAGGGCTCAGTGTGAATGAAAATATGTAGCTCGCTGGGCGGTGGTAGTGCACGCCTTTAATCCCAGCACTTGGGAGGCAGAGGCAGGTGGATTTCTGAGTTTGAGGCCAGCCTGGTCTACAGAGTGAGTTCCAGGACAGCCAGGGCTACACAGAGAAATCCTATCTCGAAAAAACAACAACAACAACAACAAAGAATAGAAAAGAAAATACGTAACTCATTGTTAAATTCTGAACCTTCAGGAGGCTAAGAGAAGATCATGAATTCCAGGCTAGCCTGGGCTACGTGGTGAAACTGTCTCCAAAAGCATGCTGGGGGGTGGATGATTGAAACATGGCTCAGTGGTTAGGATCTCTTGCTGCTCTGAGAATCTCATTTCCATTCCCAGCATGCACGTGGGTAGCTCCGGGGGATCCAGTGCCTTTCCTAGGCTCTGTGGGCACCTGCTCATTCGTGGCATACATACATGTAGACACATGTGGGAAAAAAATGCAGTGGTGTAGGAGGCTTTCCACGCTGGCAGGTCCCACATATAGGAGAAAGTCTAAGGTTCCAGAGGCTGGGGGCTTTGGTGATGGCAGGCCCCAATGACACGAGAAAGTCCTTGGTTCCAAAACGGTTTTTTTTTCATGGCGGATGGTGGATGCATCTGGAGATAACTCCCCTGAAACTCAGGCCAGACCTGAGTTAAATAGAGAGGGAGAAAGGGGGAGGTTCTGGGAAGAATGTTTAATTTACTGCGCCCTCTGGCCTTCATTAGTATGTAAATCCCTTGGGCCTGAAGCCTCTACCTGTCCACTTTGGGAGGGGCTGTAATGGCCTACGTGACTGAACAATGTAGGTCTATGGAGACTAGACTGCATCTCAGGACTCTGGGTTCTGGGGACATGGCCAAACACCTGCCGTTTCTCCCTTGGAGTCTCAGGGTTCCAGGCCCATGCCCAGCCATGAACCAAGATACCCTTACGCAGTCACACACACACACACACACACACACATTTAAAAAAAAAAAAACAACCCTCAGTGGGAATAAGGCATCTCTCTAGTTTGTGGAGGAATCAGTATGAAGGGTGACAGGTATGGCCAGACAGGTCCAAAAGTCTGTGGAGAAGGATCTGAGAGGACAATGGGAAGACGGTCTAGGCAGAGACGGGCCTAACGTGGAACGTTACTGCCCTGACCATTCCCCAGCTTTCCCTGGATCTCTTCTACACAGAAGACGAGATCTACGAGCTGTCTTATGCCCGGGAACCACGCTGTCCCAAGAGTCTGGTGAGCCTTGACCCTTGACCTCTGACCCTTCCCCTGCCCCCCCCCACACCCCGATCTATGCTTTGAGTGATCATGTCCCTCTGTGTCCTCTAGCCACCGTCTCCCTTCAAAGCGCCTGTGGTGGTGGAGTGGGCCCATGGTGTGACCCCAAAGCCAGACAGTGTGACTCTGGGTCAGCATGTGGAGCAGCTAGTGGAGGTGAGTGAGGGGGAAGTTCGAACTGCAGCCTGGTGGAGGGATTCGGGGGCGGGGGGTGTAGAGGGGGGGGAGTGGGGAAGGAACTAAGCCTACAAGGCTAGACCTTGTCCTCACCCTATCCTCTGCATTTCTCTGAAGTCTGTGTTCAAGAACTACGACCCAGAAGGCCAGGGCTCTATCTCTCTGGAGGACTTTGAGCGGCTGTCGGGCAACTTCCCCTTTGCCTGCCATGGGCTTCACCCACCGCCCCGCCATGGGTAAGAGGCCTTAACTTCTGAATTCCAAAACCAAGGATCCTGAACATGCCATGAGCGGCCAGTCGTGCTGAAGTGCGGCCTTTGCCCCGTAGGAGTGGCGCCTTCAGCAGAGAGGAATTGACCAAGTACCTGCTCCATGCCAGTGCCATCTGCTCCAAGCTGGGCCTGGCCTTCCTGCACGCCTTCCAGGAGGTCACCTTCCGCAAGCCCACCTTCTGCCACAGCTGCAGCGGCTTCGTGAGCACTGGCCCTGTTAGCACCCTTGGGATCCATCTCCCCTGGATTGTCTCACCTCCTCACACCCTAACTTGGGCAGGGTTTGGGGGAGGGGCTTCCAGAAATGCCCCCAGTCTCAGATAGTCCACAGAGTTCATATAAGCACCAGATACTGAAATTCCTATATTCTGTGTACTCACCAAACTGTACATAATATTAGGAGATCTTCACCAAGACAGTGGCCAAGCTTTGAATACTATCCAGAACCTCAAGTAATTCCCCAAACACTGGGTAACCTGCAGACCTGGGTAGATTGCCTTGGGTATGGTGGTGTGCTATAACCCAGGAATGCGAGTTCACTCTCAGCTACATAGTGAGTTTGAGGCCAGCCTGAGCTATAGGAGACCCTGTCCTTTAAAGACACTAACATAGCTGAGTGTGGTGGTGGCGCACGCCTATAATCCCAGCACATAGGAGGCAGAGGCAGGCAGATCTCTGAGTTCAAAGCCAGCCTGGTTTACAGAGCAAGTTCTAGGACAGCCACAGAAACCCTGTCTTGGAAAATGTAAACAAGGGGCTGGAGAGATGGCTCAGTGGTTAAGAGCACTGACTGCTCTTCCAGAGGTCCTGAGTTCAATTCCCAGCAACCACATGGTGGCTCACAACCGTCTGTAATGGGATCTGATGCCCTCTTCTGGTGTGTCTGAAGACAGCGACAGTGTACATAAAATAAAAACAAATCTTTGCCGGGCGGTGGTGGCGCACACCTTTAAACCCAGTACTTGGGAGGCAGAGGCAGGCAGATTTCTGAGTTCGAGGCCAGCCTGGTCTACAGAGTGAGTTCCAGGACAGCCAGGGCTACATAGAGAAACCCTGTCTCGAAAAACAAAAAACAAAACAAAACAAACAAAAAACAGAACCAGTCTCTGATTGTTATACCCCGAACCACCCAAAGCTTATTTCATTCCCAAATTAAAGACATCTTTTATTTTTGATGGTTTTCCCTCAAATTTTGGCCTTTTCAGACAGGACCAATCCTGTGTAGCTCAGGCTCCTTCAAGTTTATGTTTTAGGGCAGGGGATATAGGACAGGGGTAGAGGATGCTTGTCTGCCATGCACAGGCCCTGGGTTCAATTCTCAGACCCCCCCCCACACACACACACACTTAAATTGATTGTATAGCCCAGTATTGCCTCGGCCACTTGGGGTTACAAGCATGTCTCCACACCTGGCTTCAGATTCTTGACTGTAGACAAATCTCAACCAAATCAAGACTAATTCATAGATCTTACCATTTCTTTACTGTTAGGCCTGCATTTGACACAGCCCATGAGTCAGGCAGTTCTGGGGCCTAGGAAGATACCATGAACTACACACACAGCCCCTGCCCATAGAAATTTATGAACTCAGTTTACCCAGTTCTAATATCCTGCATATCCCTACGTTTGAGATAATCTCCATGTTCCTAACATTTTGGTTAATTGTCAGAATCTTAAGAAATTTCAAAACCCGTTGGCTTCTGTCCGCTCCCTCCCACTCTCCATCCCACGCTCCCTCCTTCAGTCCAGCTAACCGACTTCTCTTCCTTTCCTCAGCTCTGGGGGGTCACCAAGCAAGGCTATCGCTGTCAGGGTAAGTGAAATGCCTTCAAGAGGGAGGGACTCTCAACCTGCGGGCTGGAAGAGCGAGGCACTCTTTTAACAGTTCCTTCCCCCCCAGACTGTGGGCTGTGTTGTCACAGACACTGCAGGGATCAAGTGAGAGTGGAGTGTAAAAAGAAGCCAGAGACTAAAGGTGACCCCGGCCCCCCAGGTGCACCTGTGCCAGCCACACCACTTCCTCCCGCCAGCTGTGGTAAGACCCAGGGTACAGTAGGACCGGGAGAAGGGCGCAGAGGATGGGGTTCACTCCTCAGGTGATGGGGTCCTTCCTGCCCGTCAGAGTCACACCTCTTCCACCCATCATATCACCAACAGGCTCAGAGGAAAGTCTCTCCCATACACTGTCCCCAGATCTGGAGTCTGGTTGCCACCTCCGCCATGCTTGGACCCAGACGGAGTCCTCACCCTCTTCCTGGGGGCCAGAGATGGTAAGGAGTCCCTAGCTGCATCTGGGAGAGGCAGGCCATTTGTCTGGGCAAACATGACCAATGTGGGAATCACAGAAAAGTGAAATCATAACCCTCAGTCACTGGGATGGGAGGGTATAGACAGCCTGGTATGCTCTCTGTTACTGGATGAAACACTGACCAAAATCAACTCAGGGGAGGAAGGGTTTATTTGACCTGCACTCCCATGTCCCTGATCATTTTCTTGAAGGAAGTCAGGCAGGAACCTGGAGGCAGGAACCAAAGCAGAGACCGTGGAGAAGCACTGCTTGCTTAGGTGCTTGCTCTCCAATGGCTTCCTCAGCTTCCTTTCATACACAGTCCAGTACTGCTTGCCCAGAGGTGGGCTCGCCTACATTAATCACTAATCAAGAAAATGCCACCGGGCGGTGGAGGCGCACACCTTTAATCCCAGCACTTGGGAGGCAGAGGCAAGCGGATTTCTGAGTTCGAGGCTAGCCTGGTCTACAGAGTGAGTTCCAGGACAGCCAGGGCTACACAGAGAAACCCTGTCTCGAAAAAAACAAAAAAAAAAAAAAAAAAGAAAATGCCTTGAGGTCATGCCCACAGGTCAGTCTGATGGAAGCAATTCCTCAGTAAAGGTTCCCTCTTCCCAAGTTTGGGTCCCGTTGGCAAAAGCTGCTACCCAACTCACTTTGTAACCCAGGCTGGCCTCAAACTCACAATCCTCTTGCCTGGGCTTCCAGAGTGTTGAGATTATAGTCATGAGCCATCATGCCCAGTGGACACTGACTAATTTTTATTGTGGACAGAGAATAATAGCAGTTTTAATATACTTGGGACAAAGGTGGATAACCACTAGCACAGGAAATAAAAATTAAAAAAAAAAAAAGAAAAAGATTCTGGGAGAAAAAAATAGAACTAGGCATGGTGGCTCAAACCTATAATCCCAGCACTGAAGAGGCTGTGACAGGAGAATAGCCTCAACTTCCAGGCTAGCCTACATCGTGAGGATCCAGGTCAGACTGTCACAGGAGACCCTGTCTCAAACAAACAAACAAACAAACAAACAGTAAACCAAGAATAAGGCCTGGGGCACTCACCTACCCACGTGACCTTGGCATACTCTCCAGGGTCAGGGTAGGCAGCATCCACTTGAAGCATGGTGCCCCCACCAAAAACATAAGGCCAAATAAGGTCAGGGGCTACAATAAATATTATTGGAACAATTTCCATTCCTAAAAGGCAGAGATTTCATCTGAGAGTATTGGTTCATTTACTTAGCCACAATCTGACTGAGACACTGGTCCTGGTTGTGGAGAAATGAAGTACTTCTCATTGTGTATTTTTCCTCCTTCCAGGTGCCCTGCCCAGCACCAGTTTTACCATCCAAAGCTTCCTCAAAGCCCAGCATCTGAACAGCATCTGGAGTCTTTTCCCTTACTCCCCTAACCAATGCCTCCTCCACCCCCACACTGCCTCTGACAAAGCACCCACCATCTTTTCCCCCAGAAAATGTTCTTTTGCACTGCACTGACTGCCAGTCATGCTCCTTCCCCTCACTTAGCGTCTGCTGTTCTGTGTTGGATGCATTTGGACTCCAGTTGTGCCAGCTCCCCACTTCCCAGAGAAAGAAGACTGGAGCGCAGTAAGATTAACCTTCAAGCCCACAGTGTGAGAGGCAAGACTCGCACCTGTTTTAAAACTGGAGCTCTGAACCAGTGGGCCATGGGGTTGAGAGGCTGTGAGGGTGGAGGGGACAGGGTTCTAACCAGTGTCAGGAAAGGAGCTGGTGCAGGCAGTGTATGTGAAACATCTTCCTTCGCTTGGAGCCTCCCATAGCTTGCTCAAGGTAAAACCTAATCCTGTGGTTTACAAAGTTCTGCAAGGTCTGTCCCCGCCACCTGTCTTCCCTTCCCACTGCTCACCCTTACTCATCCTCTTCTACCTACACTGGCCTCTAGACTCCTAGAGCATGCTCCTAAATATTTCTACCCCAGGGCCTTTGCACTACCTGCTGCTCCGATCACCTGCAATGACTCTCCTGCTCTAGAGCTTTGCTCCAGAAACATCCCCTTGGGGAGGCCTCTGGACGTCAAAACTTGTTCTGCCTCCTGTCCCCTTCTGCTTTATTTCCCTCTGTGGTACTTTGCTCCTCTAACAAGCTAGACATTCACCTATTTATCTTGTTAAATGTCTGCCCCTCCTTGCCAGGAACAGCTCCCCAAAGGCAGAGATGTTTATCTGTGTTATCTCTAGATAGAGTACCTGGCAGAGTTGGTACCAGGGAGCACCTATAAAGTGTTGGTCTGATGCGTCAATGTGTCTTTTCCCACACCCACATAAAAAGCAAAAGGTTTGTCCGGACTTCGGGGTGGAAATCCATGACCCCTCTACAAATCCATACACCCCTGACCTGGTCCCTACAGAAACAAGATCCTATAACCATCAAAAGAATTAAATTTATTTTTCAGACAACACGGTTCATAGTTCATAGTGTTGAGTGGTGGCTGGGTGTAGGGCATTTCCCCTGGAACAGGGAAGGCTAGACTTGCCAAGGATAACCCTCAGTGACTCCTGAAGGATTGCCAGTGGTGTCAGGATCTGCAACCGACCCTCGAAGGCCTTTACTTCTTCTTCTTTCTGCGGCCCCAGCGCTGTTGGCCAGCCTTCCCCCTTCCTCCATCTTCTCTTCGGCTCCTCCAGGTAGGCATGGGAGCTTCCAGCTCACCTGGGCGCCCCCCACGGTCTGGCACATCACCCATAAGCACCTGAGAATTGATAACACTTGAGTCTCAGTAGGAGGTAAAAAGAGCTGGCTGTGATAGTGCACCCCAACGTCCTGCCACCTGGGAAGTGGAGGAAGAGTTTCCACCCAGACTTTGGCTACGTAATGAGTTGGGAGGTTAACCTGGGCTACATGGGACCCTATCTCAAAGGGGGAAAAAAAAAAGCCAGACAGTGAGTGGTACATATTTTTAATCCTGGCTCCCAGGAGGCAGAGGCAGGAGGATCTCTGAGTTAGAGGGTACCCTGGACTACAGAGCAAGTTCTAAGTAAAAGCTACACAGAGAAACCCTGTCTCAGAAAATAAAAATAAAAATAATAATAATAATAAATCTTTCTAGCTGACATGTAGAGTGGGTAGTTTGAATCCAGTTGAGTCTAGAGGCCAGGAACCAAGGAGAACACTAGACCAGGGAAAGCCCAAAAGGCCAAGGATGCCCAGACTCTCCCCTGCCCCGGGTGTGCCCACCTTGTTGATTGCACAACTGGTCCCTCGTCGGGCAGTCACACTGGTAGCTGGGACCAGGCGGGAAAGGTCGGCTCGGGCAGCCAGGACATGCGCGGTAGAGACATCAGATTCTGGAGTCAGAAGCCCTCGGATTGGGAACAGCACTGCCTTCATGACCTCTCCGTGGGCCTAGAGTGTAGGAAGGGCATACGTGGAGAAGGTACCCAGAGATCTCTACTCCGTGTGCTTTGGGGCAGGGGGAAGCTTTTCCAAGGTACATGTGTTGTGGAGAGGTGGGCAAGGTGGCACAGAACTGGAATCTCTGCACGAAGGAAGAGGAAGGATCAGGAGATGTTGCCAAGACCCTCCTCAGCTACGTGGCAAGTTGAAGCAGAAACAAAATCTTAGGCGTGATTGACCGTGAGCCTGGCTGACGATCGCAGGGTACCACCGCTGGAGGGATTCATGCAAGTCCCGTTATGATGACATGGGATGGGACACTGGCCACATCTGCCTGTCCAAGCCTGCATGTTTCGGCCTCCAGAACCGTAAGCCAAAAGGAACTTGTTTTTCCTTAAAACATTCTGGGTTTCTGGTATTTTGCCATGACGACGTAAAACCAGTTAAAAAAAAATAGTCTTACCGTCTATTTTGTTACATACGGTAAATAGTTCTGGGGACACTCCCAGCTGAGAGCTGGGCATTCTAGAATGCCCTTGAGGCCCTGGGAGTCCAGAAATCTTCAACCCTGTAAGATTCTAAAGTGTGGGTTGGAGAGATGGCTCAACATTAAGGGGACTTACTGCTCTCACGGAACAGCTGGGTTCAGTTCCCAGTACCCACGTGGTGGCTCGCAACCTTCTATAGCTCCGGTTCCAAGGCAACAAACGTCCCCTTCTGGCCTCTGTGGATACTGCACACACATGATGTGCATACACATAGGTGAAGCACATAAAAAGAAAACGGAAATCTTGCCGGGGAGTGGTGGCGCACGCCTTTAATCCCAGCACTTGGGAGGCAGAGGCAGGCGGATTTCTGAGTTCGAGGCCAGCCTGGTCTACAGAGTGAGTTCCAGGACAGCCAGGACTACACAGAGAAACCCTGTCTCGAAAAAACAAAAAAACAAATAAAGTGGCCTGGGTCCTAGAATCCTCCAAAGCATATATTCTTCACCCTCGACCCTCTTCCCTGCAGCTGAGCCTCCCTGGCTGGCCTGCTTATTCTTGCTATGGTCCCCATACCTCTGCCCGATCACCCCAGTGGAAAGCAGATGTTGTAAGGTCAAGACGCTTCAGGAGGAGGCATCGGCGGCAGCGGTACTGTTTGGTCATGCTTTGGGACAAAGACTCCAGGGCTTCCTGGAAGGAAAGGTCTCAGTCACACCCAGGGTCCCATCTCTGGGGTGGGGACACTAGTCACAGCTGTCTGCACATCCTCTCACCCATTGTGATGCATTCAGTGGTGTGTTAAGGAGGGGCTTCATGGACTCTGGGGGCAGGGCAGGCAGCAGCTCAGAGATCTGGTGGGAGAATCATTTAAAGCCAACAAGACACAAACAGGATGGACCTTCTCGAGGGTTCTAGTTCCCCTCTCGAGGGTTCTAGTTCCCCTCAGCCATGTGAACCCAGGTCTCAGAAGCGTTAATGACTTTTGCCAACCTGACAATTGCTATTGGATATGGGAATGCCTAGCCCACTCTGGGCAATGCTGTCCCTTTGTAGATGAGCCTGGGCTGTATACAACAGGTAGCTGAACAAGCCAGAGGCATGGGCTAGTAAACAGTGTTCCTCCATGGTCGTCTTGAGTTCCTGCCTTGGTTTCTTTCAGTGATGGGCTGTAACTTGTAAAGGGAAACAAATGGTTTCCTCCCCAGGCTGGCGTTGGTCAATGTTTTATCACAGCAAAAAGCAAATTAGAACGAATGGTCCCTGTCATTGGGTCATCCTTTCTAGAGCTGGTTTTGAAAACAGGATCCTTTCCACAAGTAGGGTACCTCAGGAGGGATCTCTTTCTCTCTACCTTGTCATGGAACTCCCGAAGTAGCTGGCTAGCCAGGGTTCCACGCAGGGGTCTAGGAAGCCCCAGGGCTTGAAGAGTTAGCATCAGATCCTGAACCACACCATTTCCCTCCTTTGTCCCTTCTTCAAAGGCTGGCACAGGGCTAGGATCCCGTTGGAGCCTTAGATGCAAGAGGCGGGCAGCCTGGAGCTCAGAGCAAAGAAACCCTAAAAATAGGAGTAGATGCCTGCCCAACCAGAACCTCGGCCCCTTCCCCAGAGTAGGCCTCACCCACTTACACTGCGGGGTGTGGGTCCACTTCAGAACCACCCGACTGGCGTTTAACTCAACGCATTTAAGCTTTCAGAGGCCTTTGTCAGAATTCTAGCCTAGCCCTAACCCGAGCTTATCTACCTGCGGCCTTCAAGCTCACTGTAAAGCTTTGGCCACGCCCCCGGGAGGCCAGTCTGCGTCAGAGCCCGCCCCCTTCCGAGGCCCCGCCCACCGCCGCCTCCCAGGGCCTTCCGTGCTCGCTCACGCAGCAGGCGCAGGCCACCGCCGGGCTCCCGCAGCACGGTGGCGCAGTCTCCGCCGCAGAGCGCGCGATCGGGGCAGTGCAACGCCCGCAGCAGACCGGCCAACTGCCGCAGGAACTCTTCCTCTGTGTCCGGGCCTGCGGGAGGAAGAAGCCATCAGGGAACAGCGGCTTCCGCGGCTCCACCCGCCGTCCACCCAGCTCTTCACGCACCGTGGCCGGCGCCCAGCACTGCGGTGCCCTCCTCTCGCCGCTCCAGAGCTCCCAGAGCCGTCAACTCGGTCGCCAGCCGCGCGCACAGCGCCCTGAAGTCCGCACACGCGGGGCCCCGAGACTCCCCCTCCGGGAGGGCATCGTACCTGCGGCGGGGCGCGCGTCAGTGCGAGTCCCCCCGCCACCGCGTCCCCAGGCTAGTGCGCCCTTCCCGTACCCCAAGGCTACACCACCGAATCCTTTACCCCAGTGTCAGCAGATCACCGGCTACCACGGCCCCATCCATGGCAACTCGGTCTTCGGACCCAAAGCGCGCGCCCCCTTCCGCCAGGGACAGGCTCCGCCCCCTCCTCCCTCTGCCTCCTCTTCCCCCCCACCCACCCCCCGCCGCTATCCAATCAGATTCTCGTGCGAAGGCGCTTCGGCGCTCCTATTGGCTTGGTAGCGCGCCACGCGCGCCCTTCATGTAACTTGTCCAGTGTTGTAAATTTTACAACGTTAGGTTTGGATCCCCTTAGGTCGCAGGAGGCTTGAGTGTCCCTACTGTCGGGGACATAAAAGTTATTTACCTTTCCCACTCTTCTTTTTTTACATTTAAATTTGTTTTAGAGGCAGGGTCTCGATATATACACAAGTATGTAGCTCAGGCTGGCTTCTTGGTCCTGCTTCCTCCTTAGGTTTTCTGGTTGACAGGTATGCGACACGCCCAGCTGCCCTTTGTTCTTAATGCACCCCAGACCGAAGGTCCCAGCAACTTGTTTCCTTTTCTTCCACCTTAGGATTAGAATATCAGCACACCCCCACGTCCACTCACCCACCACAGCCAGACTCTTTCCACCTCACAGCGGGCTCCGGCGCTAACCATCCTCTGCCTCTGTAGGTCTTCGAAAGAGGAACCATTGAGCAACTTACATCCTAAGGGAGAGGCAAGCCGATGGGACTGGGGTTTGACTTCATTTCCCAAACTGGTTTTCCATCTATGCAATTGGGGTCCAAGGGCAAAAATATATATTATGTGAATGAATGGTGTGTGTGTGTGTGTGTGCGCACGCGCGCGCGCCTTGTGCCCACAGAAGTCAGAAGGCTTACAGTGCCCTGCAACTGGAATTCCAGATGGTTGTGAACTCTCATGTGGGTGCTGGGAACCAAACCCAAGTCTTCTGCAAGAACAAGTGCTCTTCCCCACTGAAGCCATCTCTCCGTTAATATATTAAATGGAGTCTGGTCTCACAGTCTAAGACCCTCTTATCTCAGCCTCCCAAAATCTGGGACTACAGATTTGTGTCACACCCAATCTTTCAAGCGCTCATTCTTAAAGGTGTCTGTGGGGATTTATGGTCCATATGTTATGGTGCTTAAAAGGGCTTGATGCATCCTCAGCTAACAAGCTGTGTGGTGGTGGTGCACACCTTTAATCCCAGCACTAGAGACGCAGAGGCAGGCAGATCTCTGAGTTTCGAGGCCAGCCTGGTCTACAGAGTGAGTTCCAGGACAGCCAAGGCTATACAGAGAAACCCTGTCAAACAAACAAACCACCAAGTAAGGGAATTGGACTAGCTGCTCTCTCAAAAGCTGGTTCCCAGCGCTGACCTCTGGAGGTCATAAGCACCCGAGGACCCACCATGCCCCCCCCATGCAGTTTCCCCCCACCATGCTCTTCTCCCTCCCCCCCCGTGCAGTTCCCCCCTCCCCCACCATGCTCTTCCTCCCTTCCCCACCATGCGCTTTTGGCCTCTTTGGACCTCCTGCAAATACACATCTACATAAATACAAAATAAGAATAAATCTGTTTCAAAGTCAGATCTGGTGACTTAGACACGTGTCCTCATAGGAAGATGGCCACAGGTCCCCACGTAGGTGGCCCACAAGCGCCTGCAACTCCAGTTCATGTGCAGGGAGCCACATATAATTTTAAAATCTTAAAAAAGAAAACTTGGGCTAATAACCTTGACTCCTTCTTCTGTGCTGGGGCCTTACCACAGCCCCCGGCCCGTGCTAGCATGGGCTCCACTGCTGAGCCACATCCTCAGCTCTCTTTCAAACTCCACATATCAACCATTGGGCTCTGGTTGGAGAGCTAAGCAAGAGAGTACTCAGTTCTAGGGGCCCTGACACCAGAGAGCCAGGTGGTGCACGCGTGTGCACGGGCGCACACACACGCACACGCACACACACCTATAGGCAAGCAAACATACAAAATACTTTATATAGAGTCTTTTCAAACATCCATTAACCTTCCCGTTCCTTCTCACAGACATGACCTGCACCACCACAGGGCTGATCCCAGGAGTCCTCCTCACACAGAGACTCTGGCCTTTGAAAATGCAGAGCAATATTCGGGAGTCTTCCTGTGGTCCCATCTCACTCACTGGGGTGACAAAGTGTATGCAATGTCACACAAAGCCTCTCCACCCTCTTCTGCCAGAATCCGCCTTGCTTAAATCCATTCCCAACTTACCAGCTGAATTCCTACCCTAATGGGTGGTGCTGCTTGACCCCTGTACACATCCACAGAAGCCCCTCCCCTCCTGTTGTTTGCTGTGTCGCTGCCTGTCACAATGGGACATTAGGTATTTAGTGAATGTACTTGACTGGACATATAAACCCAGCTTGGGAATGAAGGGTGCAGAGGGGAAGAAGAGTAAACTCAAGCCCTTCAGGTAAACAAGAGGATAGGGCGCACCAACATGAAGAAAGACCAGGCTGAGACACGGTCACAGACATTTCTTGGAGCAGATCTCAACCCCCCCTCCCCCAATGACAAGGCTGGGTCTTTGGCCCCCCCGTGTTCCCTCCACTTCAGCCCGCCCTGACACTGACAAGGTCACAGACTGGCTTGGAATCAAGATCAGGAAGATAAATGTTGGCGTACCTCCCCCAAAATCTGGGGGGCAAGCATCCAATCTGAGGGCAAGCAGCTGGAGAATTGGGCTGGGGAGCTCCAGGATCTGAGGTATTCCTGGCTCCTGGGGTTCAGTCCTCCATGCACCCCAGATATGGGGGCAATGAAAGGTAATCATGGATCAGAGGTGGGTATCAACAAGGAACAGGGCTGGGGGACCTGGGAGAGGGGGTACTGGGAGATGGGGGACTAGGGAACCCTCCCCAAGTCCCCACTGCTTAATCCGAAGATCTCACAGCACCATGCAGCACTCTGGTCCCCCTCCCCACCCCTTCCCAAAACGAGGTAGGTTAAGAATGGAGCTTCCCCCGCTTACCATGGGGGGGGGGAGACCGAGGCACAAAGAGGGGATGGGGACCCAGGCTGCCCCAGCCCCCAGTTCCTCCGCCCTCAGCTCTGGTGGGTCTGACACAGATGAGAGCTGGGCAGGATGGGGATGTGAGGGACACCCCCTCTTCCCCCATTCTCTCTCAACCCGTCCCAGGGTCTGCTCAGGGAAGCTGAATCACAGGTTCCGGATACAATAAATAGTTAATAATTTAAAGGAAGTGACACAAATATTAACCCCTTGAATCCCCGCAAGGCCACCCAAGTCTGGGTAATGAATGATTCAAGTGCACATTCCCAGGTACTTAGGGCCAGAAGTAGGCCCTAAGCCCATGAACCATCGAGACTGTCTTGGCTCTGAAGCCTTGGTTCTCCTATGCAGGACACCAAATCCTAGTGCCTCTACTTAGGGAAAAGAGGCCGTGGCACTTCTCTTCTCCGTGGAGAAGTGCTACAACAATACTGAGCTTTCCGGAGTGATCCCCAGTGGAGATAGAAGAGGTTCACAGGACAGGGACCTGGATGTACTAGGGATGATGGATGGTGTGGGAAATCTGTAAGGTTAGGGGTGGGTAAGGGGGGGCTTCTGTGGAGCAATTGCTGGCCCCAGGAATACAGGTGTGCAAAAGGCAAGCCTTCTTCCGCTGTCCCTGCTTGACCCCGGCAGCTGGCCTTTGCTGAGCTGGCAGCTTGTGCACAATCCTCTGTGGCAAGGTCAGGCCCTAGAGGGGAAAGGGAGACTGCTGGGTAGTCCCGGGATTCCAGGAATCTGAATGTACACTGGCCTAAGTGCCTTGCCCTAGGATAAAGGGGAATGGGTGGGAATCTGGGTGTTGCTGGGACATTCCAGTTTTATGAGCTTCTGGATGGCAGGACATGGGCAGGGGTGGGGGGAATCAGGTAGTGAGGAACTGGGGGCTTCAATAGTCTAGAAGTACTCTGAATTCTAAAACATTTGGAGCTTAAAGGAGCTGAAATCCTGGAGCATCTTGTTGCTGAATGTCTCTGGTACAAAGAGACCAGGGTGTCAGGCCAAAACTAATCCCAAGATTGTGGGGACTTAATTCCTGCACCTAGGGCCTAGTGATATCTCGGGGTCTTAGATCCAGTGCTCTTAAAACAAATTGGATTTGCTCTAGGGCTGAAAGTCAAGGGATGAAGGACCTGGGTTACCATGACCACTACATCTAAGTTCCAGGCTCCCAACCGGTATGGTAAATGGGGAATGAGGACAGAAGGAAGCCAATGTTTCCAGAATATTTGGAGTCTTAAAATTTAGGCCTAAGGGAAACTGGAAGGTTAGCTAATCTCTACAAACCAGTTTGTTGAGCCTAAAGAGCTGGTGGCCTTCAGCTGTACATTTAAGGGTACCAGGCATCTCAGAGCTCATCCATGAAACGCAAATTCTCATGGCTGGCTTGAGGGGTAGGCGTTTGGTCCCTGGCTCCCCGAGCATCTTGGTGTCTGATATCTGGACCTTGCTGAGCTCTGAAAAGGGCCTCCCAAGTCATTCTGGTCAGAACATACCTCATGTTTGAGGATATCTAAGGAGTTAATGCATTTTAAATCTAGGGTGCTAGGGAATTTGTGGGTCACTTGCACATGAACTGATGGCAAGCAATGTCTGTGGACTTTCAGGAGTGGGTGGACTTCGAGCCAGTGTTTGGTGATCCCAAACTATCCTGATGTTTCTTACCCAGGAGGGTTTGGTGTCTCCGGGTCCTGGAGCTATAAGAGCATCTAAACGTGCGGATACCAGGTCTCAGGAAAATTCAGGGACCATTTTCTGGTGGTTCTGGGTCCCCTGGTCTCAAGTTCTAAGCCATTTGATATAGGGTCAAGTTTTAGCAACTCTTGACTAATTTGGTATGAGTGTTTACAATGTCAAGCATGACCTGAAGTCTGGGTTGAATATTTAGAAGAGTCAGGGTCCAAGATCCCTGGGTCTTAGGGATGTGAGCTCCTGGGCCCCTTGAGATGCAATGTTTGAAAATGTCCTAAGTCTCCTCAATAGGAAAAAGGGAGGGAGAATCCAGAATTCAGGACTTCGGGTGGACAGACACCCTGATGAAGCTGGCTCTGGGGACCTCAGTCCTCAATTTGGGGTCCAGGTACCAGATCTGGGATCTCTCAAATCCATTCAAGTTCCAGATATACCTAAGTTTGGGTTTTAGGTTCGTATGGAGTTTCGGGGTCCCAGACCTTCAATTTTTGGGTCTTCAGACCGATTTCCAAACCAGCCCAACAATCCTCACCGTGCAGCCTCCTCGTGGCGACCCCCACAGCCCGCACAGCCACAACGTGCAGCAACCCAGTGACAGGCGCGCAGGGGCGCATAGCAACAGAGGCAGGGCACTGCCAGGGACAGAGCAGCCAGAGCAGCCCAGCGCGCAGCAGGGCGCGGGTGGCCTGGCTCACAAGCACACGGGTCCGAGAAGTCACCCTCGGCGTCCGACAGGCAGTGGTACAGCAAGCTCTCGGCGCACCACAGGCAGCTGAGCCTGCGCACTAACAGGCGACCTGGGTCAGGGGCCTCTGCACAGCGACCACCACGCCCATCTGCCCGGCGGCGGAAGAGGGCTCTGCAGTGTACACAGCGCGCAGCCTCCTCAGCCTCTGGGGAGGCTTTGGCTAGAGCAGGGGTGGGGCCTGGGCCCGGGGGTGGACGAGCAGGGGGTGCTGGGGGTGCAGCCTCTGTGAGTGGGGCAGGGAGTGACACTGGAGGACCCAGGGCTGCACCCCTCAATCCACCAGTCTTGGCAAAGCGCACAACGCAGGTAGACAGGGCAAGAGGTGGAGGCGGTGGTCCAGATCGCCGGTAGTCCTCATAGCCGCGGCTGCCCCAGCCCTGGCTCCCTGCCCCAGCTAGAGACTCTGAAGGTTCTGGAATCCCAGTGAACGGTAGAAGCGGAGGGTAGCTCTGCAGAGCCAAGGGACAAGGAGATCAGGTTAGGGACATTTACAACTTAACTTACTCAATATCCGTAGGCTACCCAGGTTCGGAAGACCCAAAATCCCAGAACGCAAGCAGAAGGGATCAGTCAGAAGGGACTGTGTTCCCCTAAACTCTCTTGGGCTCGGGGTCCCTCATGCCCGTAGAGACAGAGCAAGGCAGGCTGCAAACACACACCTTAAGGGCCCTGTGGCTTAAGATTTCCCAGTTTGGTCACATTCAACTCCAGGTCACACTCAACCCCAAGTCCCTCCTTCAGGATAAAGTAAACAATCTTAAGAAGTCTTTCCAGAGTACCAGCATCTTCTAATATATTAGAAAACCTGCCCATGTCATCCCCCAAGTCCGTGCGTAAACTAGACAGCCCTCACCTAAGAGCCCACTGCCTCCACCTCTTGCCAGTTCTCAGGAGCCCAGGAGTCTGTTTCTGACTCAGCGCCTCCAGTACCTTCCCACTTGCTAGGCAACCACTCCATTGCTGAGCTACATTCCCAGCCCCAAACCCAGGTCCTTTCTATTCCACGACCACCTTCAGTTCAGTCAGGCTGGTCATTTCTTGGGATCTGTGTCCCTTATATAGTTGGGCTTTAGCAGCAGTCAGCTTACGGAGCTGTCCAATTCTATCCAGGTTTACTGCTGAGGGACGGGAGGGCAGAAGAGGTCATACCTGAGCCGAGGAGCGGCGTCTTTGTGGGGGCGTGGCCGGTGGGAAGGCAGTTGCTGACTCCACTGTGGCAATGGGAGCGACAGCTGTGGGAGGAGTCTCCTGGCGGCTGTGACTGGAGGAGGAGTCGCTGTCCACGTGGGACTGAGGGAGATCGGTGAGGCCTCAGTGTAGGGGAGTTCCCCAACCAAAGAAAGATCCCCTTACATAGACCTCCCTTCTATGAAGAGCGAATGCTCTGCAGTCAGGAGGTCCGGGCTCAAACCTTTGCTCTGCCACTGACTGGTTGTGTGACAAGTAAGCTCACCTAAGAGCCCAAGTGTCTCCCTCTTAAAATGGGGTCATTATAGGTAGTCTTATAATACCTATAATGACCTACAGGGATGTGTTGAGGACACTGGCTCTCACAGCGTCCTGTGCAGCTGAGCCACAGTACAGTCCCTCACTGGTGCTTCTAGGCAACAGCTCTTCCTATCCTAGCCCCGTGCTAGTGGATTCGGGGCAAGCATCTACCATTTAGCCACTCCCCCAAACCCTCACTGGCGAGTTACACCATGTCAAATCCACCACCCTTGCTCACTTAGGCCAGGCCTCAAACTCAAGATCATCTTGCCTTCCCTCAGGAGTAGCTGGGATTATAGGTGTGCGCCACCTGGACTCTGGATATGGCCACCGTTTTTACTAGACTCCTAATAGCTCAGATTACCAAGCTACTGGACAGGCCATAGGCCATCACCCCGTACTCTCTGTCCCAGAAGCCCACTTCCTTGCCCTACCCGTATACTGCAGCTTCATTTCCACTCTAGCTCTAAAGGACAGTTTGCCTGCCCAGACATCTTTCTTCTACCCAAACCAGGCCTCGCACTTCCCTAGCTGAAAGCTCCACTTCCAGGCCCTCTCCTCCCTTCCCTGTAATCTCCTACATCTTCTGTTCATAGCCTTCAGTCTAGATCCACTGAGCACCACAGCATGCCGGAAGAGCCCCCCACACAGGAACTGTGTGTGACTGCTGGAGGACCACCTCCATTCCTCATGACCTTGAGACTCTCCTGGACCCAAGGAACTAGTTTTTATTGCTCTCAGTATTCTTGTAAACCCCCTAAATGCATCTGGATATTCCATGCCCCATTTATTATCACTCAATTCAATGTACTCAGCCCATTTATCTAACACCTAACATGTACCAGGCACTGTTTTAGGGACTGTTTTAGGTGAAGCAAAGTACTAGCAAAAGATCCTTGGCCTCTGGGAGCTGACATGCTAGCGTAGAGAAAGGGTAGGAAACTAACAGATAAAAAAACTTTCTTAGGGGCTGGAGAGGTGGTTCAGAGGTTAAAAGCACGGAATGCTCTCCCAGAGGAACCAGGTTCAATTCCCAGCACCCACGTGGCAGTTACAGGTAATCCAGTACCCTCATACACACACATGAAAATAAATGATGATTTTTTTTTTTTTTTTTTTTTTGGTTTTTCGAGACAGGGTTTCTCTGTGGAGCCCTGGCTGTCCTGGAACTCACTCTGTAGACCAGGCTGGCCTCGAACTCAGAAATCTGCCTGACTCTGCCTCCCAAGTGCTGGGATTAAAGGCGTGGGCCACCACCACCAGGCCCGATGAAATTTTTAAAAAGAAAGAAAACTGTCTTAGAAGGGGGAGGGGATTAGAACCAAATTGGCGATTGTAACTGGGGAGTAGTGGTGACATGCAAAAGTTTTGTTTGTTCATTGAGACAGGGTTTTTCTATGTAGCCCTGGATGTAGACCAGTCTGCCCTCAAACCCACAGAAATCCACCTGCTGCCTGCTTTTGCCTCCCCAAGTGCTGGGATATAAAGGCGTGTGTCTACCTGGAGAAAACGTTTTATGTATTCCAAGTTGGCTTCAAACTTGTAACACAGCCCAAGCATGACCTTGAGTTTTGATCCTTCTGACTCCACCTCCCTAGTGCTGGGATTACAAGATGCCAGCTGGGGAATTGAATCCAGAGCTCGGTGCACACTAGGCAAGCACTTCACTAAGCCAGCCACATCCTGGCCTGAGAATGCAATTGTAAATAGGTTGCTCAGTGAAGCCACCAAGGAGACATTTGTATAAAAAGCCTCCAAAGAAAAGATTATAAGTCAGATCTGAAGATGTGTTCTGGACAGAAGGGCCCCAGGACAGGAATACACCAACCCTGTTGTAATGATAGCAAGGGGTCTGACGAGACAAGAAGGTGACTGGCAGACCATCCCAGGCCCAGAAGGATCCTAAGTGCCGTGGGAAGCTTCTGAATGGTTAAGGGTATGATCAGACTCAGCCATTAATAAGAGCCCCCTTGGCAATCCACCCCCATACTCCACTCTGGTGTGTGCCTGTGTGTGTGAGTGTGTATGTGTATTTATGTCTGTATGTGTCAATGTGTGTGCCTGTGTGTGTGAGTGTGTGTGTGTATTTATGTCTGTATGTGTCAATGTGTGTGCCTGTGTGTGTGAGTGTGTGTGTGTGTGAGTGAGTGTGTGTATGTTTGGGAGATGAGGTCAGACACTAGTGTGTGGAGAGCAGATTGTGATCATTTTGAAAGTAGAACCTGAGCTGGGTTCTACTCAGTGGTAGAGTACTTGTCCAACATGTATAAGACCCTGAGTCTGAGCCCCAGTACAGAGAAAGAAAAAAAGAAAGATAAGAAGGGAGGGACGGAGGGAGAAAGGATGGATGGGAGGGAGGTGGGAGGGTGGGAAAGCGGGAGAGCTGGAGAGACAGCTCAGCAGTTAAAAGCACTGGCTGCTCTTTCAGAAAATCTTGGTTTGATTTGTAGTACCCAGATGGCAGCTCACAATCACTGTAACCAAATTCCAGGGTAATCCAACACCTTTGTCAGACCTCCCTGGGTACCAGGGATACAAACGGGTCCACATACAGGCAAAGCACCCATACACATTTAAAAATATATATATATTGTTTTTTTTTTTTGAAGAAAGAAAGCAGAACCAATATTGTGACAGATTCTATGGCAAGCAGGAGAAAACAAGAATCAGCCCAGCGTGGTGGTGTACCCGTAACCCACACTTGGGAGGCTGAGATGGAGGGATCATGAGATCCAGGCAAACGTAATCTCCCAACAGATCTATCAGTTTCTCTTCATCAGCCCCTCTCCTGACTCTCATCGGTTTCTCCAATAGAGCCAGGGGATTCTGCTGATGGAGAGCCGCTACCACACCTTCTCCTCACTCACTTAAGGTGCCATCACTCAAGGTAAAGGAACAAGCCCTTACAGTAGCATATAAGATCCCACACTATCTGTCCCTGGGTCACATGGTCTGGGCTGCGTAGTAAAAACCTTGCCAAAACAACAAAAAAAACAACAAAAAAACAAAAAAAAAAACAAAAATAAAAAAAACAATGGAGTCAAAGATGACTCCAAGTTTATAAGCCTACAGCTTGAGCAATAAATAGAAGATAGAATTATCAATTCATACGAGGGTAGTGTTGGTGCACATCTTTAATCCTGCCACTTAGGAGGAAGTGGGAGGTAGATCTCTGAGTTTGAGGCCAGCCTCATCTACAGAGCCAGGGCTACACAGAGAAACATTGTCTCAGAAAACCAGCACAAAAGGAATGAGCAATTCATTTGTCCCTGTATTTATTTTAATGCTTATTTCTGTTTATATTTTATCTTTCTCTCTAAAGCACCAAGGAAGCTTGTTTTGCTTACTTATATATCCCTGGTACCTAAAACACTGCCCGGTATGGGTGCTTTTTAGCTCTTGAACAAAATGTATGGCTCATGACAAAACTGGAAGCCACACATGGTGACACACCAGTAACTCCAGCATTCAAGAGGACTGAAATCAATATTATCATCAGATACGTATTGAGCTTGAGCTTGGCCTGGGCTACAATAAGACCCTATCTCAAAGGTAAATTAATAGATCCATATACAAGAACAGAAAACCTAGGACAACCATGGTTGAATCGGCATTATCCATATGGGCCTGATTTTGTGTCCCTAGCATGTGGCCTTTTGCAGATAACAGAGCAAGTACTCAAGAATATTTGTAGACTAGAACCAACCCTCTACCCTCCCATGGAAAAGAGACCCCAGGACTCACCGTCAGAGGGCAGGGAGTCTCTGCAGTGTCCTGGGAAGGGGAGGAGGAGGAAGAGGAAGAGGAGGGAGTCAGCGAGCCTAGGGCAGGGAGAAAGGCAGAAGTGAAACCTTGAACCCCAGATTCTCCCATGCCTGTCCCCAAGCCTGGTTGTGTGCGCCTGGGCCACTGACCTCGACTCAGAGCAGCCAGTGCAGCCAGCAGGCTCTTCTGGAACTCATCTGCTTCTGCAGGACTCTGAAACGTCAGCCCAAACTTGCAGTCCCCCAAGCTCCAATGGTGGAAGATAGGATTCACTTTGTTGTAAACCAAACCTGGCCTCAGGGTACACTCCAAGGTGGTCTGAGGGGCAGGAAGGGACTAGGTCAGCAAACCCTACCCACGCCCACGACTTGGAATCCTAGCCCCTCTGTACTCTAGGTGTACCCAAACACTAATATAACCTAATTTTAGGAGATATATCTCTGATTCCACAATATTCCTTCAATCCCTTCATTTCTATACCTATCTGATTTCTTCCTCTGATGTCCCAATAGGAACCTCAAATCTTATTAAATGTTAAAAAAAAAATTAACCTTTTCTCATACCCTAACGATGCCTCTTTTGATTGAAGAAAAAGCATTCTTTACAGTTTACTGAACACATCAAAATATTACAATCAGTTCCCTTCTGGTGCCTCAATAATCCCTGGAAAACTTCTCCACAGTCCACAGGATGCTGAGCACCACTTGAGTTCCCTCCATGTCCTGTCTGATATCAACACTTCCTCCACACTGTTCCTGATGCCCTGCTTTTCAAGATGTATCCCTTCCGCAAGCTGCTGCTGCTGCTTCTTCTTCTTCTTCTTCTTCTTCTTCTTCTTCTTCTTCTTCTTCTTCT